AAATGTTTTAATAAACGATTTTATCACCTCTGTTTTCCAGGACACACCATCAATTCCACCAGCACTCAAGAATACTAAGCTTGGCTTCATTGCCTATTCCAAAGGGAAAAGAGCGACATACTACATGCAAATATTTCCTGACGCACACAAAAAGATGAGAATTAGAGGAGAAAGTGATGAAGATTTTCGGAAAAAATTTACCGCAGAGCGATCGAGACAATTTGATATCTGTGAAGCAACAGAAAACCTAATGAATGTGAAGGTGCCTAGTTTGTCTGAAAGATATCGCATTTACACAGATGAAAATTACTCAGTGAAACCAAAAGACGGTAGGATTTTAAACCACGCCATAGAAGAACATACTCGGTTGCTCAAAAAAGTGGAAGAAAAATTAGAACAAGTAAAAAACCATGATATTGCATTGTTTAACTCCAAAGGCAGTAAATTAAAAGAAGGAAACGAGTTCCAACATGCTTTCAACACAAGTCAGATCCAAAGCCTGGAAAAGTTAAAAACTACTGTGAATAAAAACAAGGGGACATTGGAGAATAAGCTCAGTGACTTTAAACAAATATTTAAAGGCATTCATTATATCTTTATTTCACAGGCTAAAAAGAAGAAGAAAAAAACATTAAAAAGGCAAACAAAAGAAAGCAACAACGCTTTGATAAAAATATGGCCAGGATTTATAAGAAATGTGTTGTAAATCCTATAGACCAGGAACTTCCACATTTTCTACAATATCCACCTTCTATTCCCGTACCCAAAATGTATATAGATGTAGAAATTCTCGGAACATTAGAATGCAGAGAAGCAAGGTGCATTGCAAGTTTGATAAATGGTGACCATTTCAGTAATGCTGCTGGCAGCAGACTACTGTCACATTTAAGGAAAAATGTGACAGACAAAGTTTTCTCTTACCTTTACCCCTCAGAAGATGTACCTTTTGATGAGGAGCAGGAACAAGAGGAGACATCAGAACTACTGCTGGACTCCGCCTCTACTAGTGATTCTGATAGTGATTATGGACAGGAGGGAGATGACGGACAGGAGGAAGATGATGGACAGGAGGAAGATGATGGACTGGAGGAAGATGATGGACAGGAGGAAGATGATGGACAGGAGGAAGATGATGGACAGGAGGAAGATGATGGACAGGAGGAAGATGATGGACAGGAGGAAGATGATGGACAGGAGGAAGATGATGGACAGGAGGAAGATGATGAAGAAGAAGAAGAAGATGATGATGATGAACTATTAAGCATTGATGTTGATAATATTGATGCAGAAGAGGGTTTTAATGATAGTTTATAAGTCGCAATGAGCCCTGAAGGGCACTGGTTGTTATGTTGTTAATCATTTGTCATTTGAGAACATTGTAAGGTTTAATATAGTCATCATGATATTTAATAAGAATTTTACATTTTTGTTTAATATATTCAGTACATTCTAGGACGAAATGCAATATATTTTATTTTATAAAAGGGCAGAACTTCATCTTCATTGTCTTTTTGGCTGTTTAATAAAGTTACCGGAAGTGACAATTTTGTACATTTCTGGCAAAAGAACAAAAAGAAAACTGATTTGCATTGCCGTAATACTTAATGTCACTTTCAGTAATTTTTCATATAAAACAGCCATGAAGATGACGTTTTTTCTAAGAAAATAAATTGCATTTTAGAATGCAATGAATATCATAAATATGTATAAAAATTCTTAATTGTTACATGTGTAATTCAACTACATGCATGTACCGAAACTTTACTTTGCCATCTTTGAGTTTTTATGAATGAAAGAGTACGAAAGTTTATTGCTTTGATTTTTCTATATTATGTATTCATTGATGTTTTGGTGGCCCCCACCCTTCAAAACTTAAGTTTCCTGAGATGACCCCCCTCTCACATCACTATTTTTTCTGGTGGCCCCCCTGCAAAAACCACCAGCCCCCCCTCCTGATAAAAAATGAACGGTCCCTAATGCTGGTGGTTTTTCAACTGCTTAAAACAAATCTTATGTTATTGATATTAGTAATATCTGACAGTTTTACCATTTTTTAATTGTGGTGCATTTGTACTTTGTTGTATTTTTATATATAACTTTCTTGTAAACATATTGCAATTCACATATGTGTGCAAAAATAAGTAATAAACCATAATAATAATAACCAATCCTAACTCAATTTAACAATACTATAGATGGTTACTCAATTTTGATTTTAATAAAGCTGAAAAATAAATTCTCAGTTTAGGTTTAAGTAGCCTTGTTTGCTTATCAAATACAGTACCGTATTACACTAGTTTATGTTCATGCCTTACAATACGTTTTCAACAATCAGTCTAGTCTATTGTTAGCCATACCTGCAAGTAAAAAACCTTAGTGATGAATTAAATTGCATGTATAAAACTAGGACAATAACAGAACACTTGATACAATCCTTGGTTATGCTAAAAGATACCAGATTTGACACTATATAGTCACTAGAGTAGTAAGTGTTTTATTGTTAGCACTGCATGGTGTAATTTTAAATTGCTCAATTAATAGTATATTATATAGAAATAGAAGTCACACCAGTTCACATGCTCTTTAATGAGATTTTTTGACATGCTTTAATTTTGTGGTAAATTTGATTGGATAATGTATTAGTTTAATTGAAAACAAAATGCATCTATAATAGGTATTCTGCATTTTCAGTTTGTATCTTTGTTCTTATTAAATTAAACTAATACATTGTCATTTTTGTTTCTGGAAACAAAGGACATTGAAATGATGGTAGAGACACAGGCGGCCCAGACGTATATCAGTGTATAGTAAATATATCACTATAGAATATACCTCTGAGAATATACTAAACAATAAAATTTGTAATGAATTTTATATTTTAAAATCATATTTACTTGCCTACTTTGATTGTATGTGATCGTCTTTTATTTCTGAGCGACTTTACATTCGATGCCTGCGACTGCCTTCATAGGTGATAGTATTGAAAGCAAAAGCTAACGATTCCAGTTCTCAAACAGCCGACACGAACAATTCAAATCGAAAAATATCCCCTTCAAATTGCTTTGTTCCCGGTAAAACTTCGCCAGAGTATAGAATAAACACCCATCTTCGAACATACAATGCAATATTAACACGTTCTATAATTTTTGCAATGGATTTTTAGCGAAATGTTTCGAGACTAAAATTCTATGGAACTTAGAAAGACCGATAATTACTACGGCGCCTGCTTGGCCACC